GTTAATGAGCCGGGTGGACTGAGCGGCGAAGAAGGCAACAATGATTCGGAGGACGAAGCTGAAGACTTTGAGGACATCGTTTGAGAGGAAGCCGTGTCATCAAACGCAATGCAGACTGCATGTCCTGTGAATCGACTCGTGAAGGGCTGTCAATTGCTGTGCGATGATGGGTGCTCTGTTATTACAAGATGGTTGGAATGCTCGGGAATGTGTGGGAAATGTCTGAATCGTTGTGAAAAAATAGAAGCTCGTGGGAAGCCCTAGCATGTTAATTTATGACTAGCCCTGCCACGTCGTCGGCGAGCGTCTGCTCAGGTTCCGAGCCGGCGTCGGCTGCTCCACCAGCGCCTGTATTAGACAGCGACTTTGCTTGAGCATCGAGCCAAGCAAAGCCTTGCGCGGTAGCGCCAAGCACGTCATCAGCTTCGTCTTTCCAAGGTGCCGCAAGAGGAAGGTCGTCGTCGTCTGCTGCTGCATGGCCCACCGGCCACTCTTCGTAGCGAGCCTTTCCGGACCCGGTCGCTCCAACTGTGCTCGTCGTGGAAAGCAGATGCCCAGACGCGGCAAGCTCAAACATGACTTGTCGTCTGCTCCGCACAGCGTTTGCTTGATGCTCCTTGAGCAAGTCGAGTGGCCCCGATTCGTCTGGCACGTCCACCTTGCGTTGCGACGACGCTTTGCCGATCACGCGGAAGCGGAGCCTCTCATCGTCGATGGGTCTCAATTCATCGGCGATGGCAGCGAGCGAGGCCACATCAGCTCGTATGATGAGCTTTTGAAGAGCCGGTGCTGTGGAAGCCGTTCGTTGGCCCGAGTCATCTGGACTGCGAGTCGCCGAAAGCAGGGCCATGACAGCCCCACGCCCAATGATTGGGAACATGAAGCCCGTTGGACCAAGCGGGGGGAGTTGTGGGTACGTGAGCACCAGATGAGTCAATGACCTTGCGGTGAACAAGCCAGGTAGGCAGTCCTTGTGAAAATATGTGAGCTAATGGTGGCGCGAGACAGAGGTGAGCTTCCAGCGGGCTGTATGTGCGATTCAGCTGCCTCGCGGTGTCACTCACATGCAGCCTCCGCACCCCTTCATGTGTAGGGGTCTCTCCCGGTCTGGGAACCGGGACCACATCACGCCTACATCCATGCATTCCTACAAACAGATGAGATCCTTCTACGTTGAGCAGAGTCATTTCCCTTGCCCGCCTGAGAGCGTACAGTCCCGGACTCCAGTCCCAACAGAAGCGTCTATCGATGCTCAGTGTCCGAACGTTGGGACACAGTTGCAATATCCTGTCAGCTGTGGGCGATCCCATGGTCCCGAAGCAGCCAGATCTGGATGAAGTAGTATAGTCATGGACAGCCATCCTGTATCGAGGATTGTTGGGAGCAGGGTCATCCTCGAAGAGACGAGCGATGGGTGCGGCCGGACAAGCATCACCGAGCACAAGCAAAGCTACGATCAACCTGCCCAGATCAGGTCGAGAAGCCAAAGTCTGCCTGAGCAACCCAACGGATTCAGCTTCACGAAGCTCTGGAGCGCGATAGAGGATGGGTGTGTAGCGAAGTTGATGGAGCTTGCTCAGTTGACACAGCATAGCGCAAGTATCGCTCGATTGCTGAGCTGCTGCGTCGAGTATGTCCAGCATCAGTTCCCAAGGTACCTTCGATCCGGCTCCTGGCATCAAATCAGGTGCACTGTCACCTTTGGCGCGCCTACTGAGCGTGTGCAGACGCGATGTTGAGTCAGAGGTTGTGCTACTCGAATGCGTGTGAGCATTGTCGACAGAGGCCGACGCGATATCAGTACCATGCAGAGACGGCTCGCTGCTTCGCCATGATCCCAACAAGGACACGCCAGGAATCAGCGAGAGCATGACTTGCGCCAATATGACTCGCAGAGGATCTCGGCGATGAGGCGAGAAGTTGCGATTTGGAGATGCTTTTGACAGGGTCAGTGAAAAGGTGGGCGGAGAAGGGTCGAGGTTCACCCGTTCGTCGGAAAGCGGAAAAGGGAGCCAGGGGCTTGCTTGCCTTCGCTCCTTTCCTGGGTGCTCCGCGCTCGCGTCTGATTAGCTGCTCAAGTCGCTACCGAGTGCTTGGCGAGTCGAAACATGGTCTGCGCGCAGTGTCGGCAAGGTGGATATGTGGGTGCTCAAAGCGAGTATCGTTGAAGAGCCAAAAGTCGTCATCCAAGGTTAAATTGTGCGAACATGACAGCTCCTCAATTGGTCCGCGCGCGTGCTCTGCTGCTGGGAGAACGCATGTAAGCCGGCCCGAGCGGCCTTGCGCGGCGTCATGCATCATTCACGATTGTTGCGTGCGGGCGGCATCCATTTCATGTGGAGTGTGCCTCTGCGTAGATTTGCGTGTGCAAGACCTATTGTGTGCCCACGACGTGCGCGGTCTTTTTTCATTTCCATTTCGCACTGCTTCTTTTCCCGGCGTCGCTAATAGCATTTACGAGCAACTTCAGTCGGCACGAGTTCGCTTACAACATCAGCGTCTGAGATCTGTCACCATAGAAGAAAGCAAGCGCACCAAGGCCGCACACGCAGCTTCTCTATCAACGTCTTATTAATCGTTGCAACTACATTAACATCCTTGCCTTTTAGTCATCTCAGACGTATCTTTCCTCCATGACGATGCCCTCCTTGGCCAGCTCTAGACGGATAGGGTCGCAAGTGTCGACCGTGTAGGGAGCGACGATCTTGCCTTTCTTCTGCACGCCTGGATTGCCCTCCAGCAAGAGCCTTGTGGCGATTGCGCACGGAACACCGACCAGCCTTGCCATGCTGGTGTGTCCAGCAGGGTGTCCATAGTCGAGCAAGGTGCTGGTGAGCGTCTTCGCTTCGCCAGAGGCAGTCTCAATTTCGAATCGATGCTGCAGCATGACCATGTCGCGCTCGCCCTTCTCATAAGCACACTTGACTTCCAAAGTAGCGCAGAGCGTGTCCAAAAGGTTCCCGTAGCCTGCTTTGTTCTGAGGTGCGGTACCTCGCACAGTGGCGAAAGCAGCGGCGTCGAACAAACCCAGCCACCTGAATCCACTGATGACCCTAGTCCTATCCGCGTCGCTCTTCCACGAGCCGATCTTCTGGTCGATGGCCTTGAGCAGTGTCTCCGGCTTGTTGTCTGATGCTCCAGTCATGCGCTGGGTGACGTCAGCCCAAGACAACTTGGCATCTGGCTTCAGCCATGAAGAGGCGTTGTCGGAGTCGTCCAAGAAACCGAGCTTGACGAGAGCAAGCACAAACTCAGGGAAGCCTTGGTATCTCAGCGTACCGCGGATCACTGTCTTTGCTTCTGGAATGTTGTAGGCCTCGCGGAAAGGCTTCGAATCTCTGTTTGGGTATGCGACAAAGGCAAATGCTGGGCTGACGTAGTAAGGCTGAGCAGATGCCATGAGGTCGACACCAGACACGGTCTTTGCCTCTCCGCCCTCGTACCAGTGTGCAGTGTTGCGAAGCGCCAGCAAGACTCCACGAGATGACCAAGAAAATTTGTAACCAAGAGGGTTGTCTGCTGCCTCGGGTGCAGGAAGGCCTCCACAGTACGAGAGGAAAGATGTAACCTTTCCGCCCTCCTTGTGCACGTCATCGATGGCCTTCACCGCGTACAGATGGTCGATTCCCGGGTCGAGACCAATCTCGTTCATGACAGTAATGCCGGCCTTCTCAATCTCAGGAGCGAGCTCCTTGATGGCATCTGAGACGTAGCTGGTAGTGACGACGTCTGTTGTGTGCTGGCAAGCCGCCTTGATGACTGCTGCGTGATATGTGTAAGGGATCAGAGAAATGACAACATCGTGTTGCGCAATCGCTTCGCCCAGAGCAGCCTCGTTGTTGACATCGACCGATACCGCATTGGTCCTTGCCAGACCCTCTGCGAGGCGCTGTGCATTCTCAAGACGAGAGGAGGCTGCAAATGCAGATTGGTGGATCAGTGGCTGCGAGCGAAGGTCAGCGCGTCTACACAGCACTTACCAACCGTGAGCGAGTACTCTGGGTATCGCAAAACGTATTCCGCGAACGGCCTAGCGACGTAGCCCGAACCCAGCAACAAGATCTTCTTGGCTGCACGCTTCGCGACGCCCTGTCCGTCACCAGTGGCAACGACGAGAGGCGGTGCCTGTGCGCCGTCCTCAATGACACGTCTGGCGAACTCTGGCGTCACAAAAGCAGCGCTGTGGACCTTCTCGTTATAGTAGTTGCAGCCCTCTACCTTCCTCAAAGGCGTCTTGACATCGCGTCCAGCCTCAAGAGAGCAGACCACAAAGCCGATTTGGCCGGCAGGATAGGTCGGAATGGTGGTGTATGCGTACTCTGCGACGGGGAAGAGCTCCTTGGTACTGGTGCGTAGCTCGCGAATGAGAGGCAAGTGCAGCCAAAGGCATTCAGCTTGGGTCGAGATGTGACCTCCAGGCTTGAGAGCTCCCTTGAGCAGCTTGAAGAATGGGGGCTGGAAAAGCGAAGCTGCGGGTCCGACGGGATCAGAGGAGTCCGTGATGATCACGTCGAAAGAAGCGAGGTTCTCCTTCTCTTGCAGGAAAGCGAAGCCGTCTCCGATGTGGACCTTGACCTTGGGGTGGGTCAAGCTGGCAGCCATGTGGGGCAGGTAGGTCTTTGACACGCGGGGCACTGCCTGTATGCACCGACAGGAAAAGCTTTGGCTGGTCAGACCTGCACCGACCGCTGGCCCTGATTTTACAGCTACTCACCTCATCGATGTCGCACAGGACCGCCTCTTGGACACTAGGATGCTTGACGACCTCGCGCAAGACCCCTCCGTCTCCACCACCAATGACCAGAACGCGCTTCGGGTCAGGGTGAGATGCAAGAGGAAGGTGGGCGATCATCTCCTGGTAGGAGAATTCGTCACGCTCGGTGCATTGAATGACACCATCGAGGACGAGGACGTTTCCCTGCACGCGACGAGACGAACAGGCATCAGCTACGAGCTTGGCGACAGCTGCAGATCCAATCTTCGGCTCACGTAGGTGGTGGACTGGAACACGAGTACATCCTGGAATTTGGACTGTTCTGTGTGGAGAATGCGCTGCACCTGCAAGCTCATTGCTTGGCCGGGCCATTGGGGGTTGGCTACCAGGTGGAGGAGCAAGGCAGCAAAAGGGAGCAAGAGAAGGGCGGGAGCGGAAGCGTGGGCAAGGGCAAGGGCAAAAGCAAAGGCAAAGGCAAAAGCAAAAGCAAAGGCAAAGGCAAGATCGGCATATTGTCAGCATACTGTGCGAGACCGCGATTGGCGTGCGGCGATGGCTCTAAGCCAGATCGCGGGAAGGCACTGTCTCCATTCCATGGTCGTCACCTGTAGCACTCACCCTCGTGAAACCAACCATCGCGGATTTGTGGGTGAGTCAGGGTCGCCATCTTTGCTACCAGTATTCGTGACTGAGAACTTCTGAGAGCGAGGCGAGTAAGGGGACGGTGGTGGAGTTTGAGTGTCAAGCCAAATCTCATAGCCTTGTGAGCTGGTTCGCATCACGTACAGTACGTACGGATGACTCGAACCAACCTTGGGTTCGAATGCTGCGCTGCACAGAACCGTCACGAGAAGAAAGGTTGGGCGCGCGGCGAGCTGTGGAGAATCTTGAATTGAATCGCACGCAAGAAAGATTTCGATTTTGAGCAGTCACAGTCATCCGTGCGCGCGGTGCAACAAGGCACGACGGCCACGTGGGAAACTGATCAGGAGCGGACCTCTGGGCACGGCACGATGGCGGGAAATCGAAGATTCATCAAACACGGTGGTGTGCTTCACAGGCTTGTCAGTCACTCGTCTGAACTCCTCCTTTCCCCACAATCAATCGACTTTTGCGATTCCAGGAGTCGCAGTCTATGCTCTTCATGCGCGCGCACATTTCACGCCTTCTCCAGCTTCAACATCAGCTCAGAGTCACAGTCAAGAGTGCAGAGGTGCAGAGGAAACAGCAAACACTTGTCTCAAAAGATTCAAATTCTTGCTTCACGTGATTGGCACTTTTGTGAACTCTTGACTCG